GCAGCAAGCAGAAGTTAGAGACGCAAAGAGGAAGCCCCAGGATACTCATCAAGGGGCTGGGGAAGAGGAGTCATTCATCACCAAGGAAAAACAAACTTCATTCTAGACACCACTGGCCACCAGCAAGTCAAAACCAGCGCCTTGGAGTCAGAATTGTCCCTGGTAGTCTACTGGGGGTGCTCTGCAGGCTGACATCTTTGCTTCCTTTCCTCGCAATGGCTGTGCATTGTAGACTGCAGCTTCCTCCACTCCGAGTTCTGTAACTAGGTGCTTCTAAGTCCAATATCTAGCTTTCCTCTGGCAGCATCTTATCATGCCTTCCCTTCATGCCTGCCCCTAGGCCCTGCCCTTAACAAGCACACAAGTCGCTGGGGGAGGCAAATGTGTCACTAGCTTAGGTAAAACACATCAGCGCAGCCACGCATTGATGGAAATAGAACCCAGTGCTGCCGGCACACCCTCCTGTGTCATAGTCCCACTCGATACCTTGCAAATCAGCACTCCAACTACCCACCTTCTTACAAATCAGTTACCAAGGTCTGTACCTTTGCAAGGATTTCCTGATCTCCATTTCACCTCACAATTTAGGCTTCATTTCTCTTGACCCACCTAGCTCAGCCACTTCTTCTCAGAAACACAATGAGACCATCCAGGCCTGCTGAGGTCTTGGCCATACCTTCAGGTGGGAGCAGCACAAGTGTTGCCCACCCATTTCTTAATTGGTTAAGAGACCACCAATGGCAAGCATCTTACCTGTAAGTTCCCGCCCAACAAGGAGGGGTCAGCGAAGGCTTAAAGTCCCAAAACTCTTCCTCAAACCTTTGGTGTCTCTGTCTCCCTCCCCCTTTGGAGAGGCACCCCACCTCCTGGCTTCCTCCTGCAGGTGTCTTCCCCTCCCCTTCCCTTCCCTGCTCACCTGGTCCCTTCGAAAATAAACTTTTCTGTCTGCAACAGATTCCCAGATTTTTATTATTATACTAAGCCGAGGAGAGAACCCACCAGGCATTTCTGGTAACACCAAAGTGTTGCACCTCACCAAAAGAGACCCCATCTCCTCACTCTGACGCAAGAAGTATCTTCCCAATGTCAACAGTATGACATCCAAATCCTTAGCACAGCAAAGTATACATTTCAAAACAATGCTTTCTGAAGGTTTTATGCATGTGAGAAGCTCTGCTCCCTCGAGAGCAAGGGAACCCACACATCCGCATCTACCAATTCAATCCCCACAAGCCCACCAAGGCTAAGACTGCATGAGGACAAAACCAGGAGGTGCAAACTTAACCCAGGTCTCCCACGTAGGTGACAAAAACCCAATAACCACTGCCTCCCAGGAGGTGCATCAGGAGGAGGCCAGAGGCACAGCCAGAGCCAAACCCAGACTGTCCAAAACGGGGCAATGTGGCCGCCAGGCTAGGCTAAATGCATACTCTTAAAATGGTACAGACCATCAGAGTTCCAGCTCTGTCACTTACTGGTCCTGTTTCCTTAACCAGATCACCTTAGCTAAAATTTTCTCACAAAACAAAGAGGGGGGGGGGGGAAGAAAGTAAAGAACTTAACCGTCTGGTGGTACACTGAGGCTTAAGAAAGAATCTCCATGCCAAGTACCAGGATAGAATCTGGCCTTGTTTCACATCAACTATGAAGCAGAACTGTCACATCCACAATGCCTCACTCCTCAAATCTTTTTTTTTTTTTTAAATAATGATTAACAGTAAGAGTTAGATTTAAAAAACCAACCTTCTGGTTAATGGTGAACCAACAGATATGTCAATTAACCACTATTTCATTTTCAGGAAAATTCTGATTTGTATCAAATTTACCATAGTTTATCAGAAAGAAAAAAGGATTCATTTATTAAAGGAAAAAAAAAAAAAGGAGGGGAGAGAGGAAGGTGATTCTCTTTGGTTTACCTAGTCCTGTAAATGAATCTTTTTAAAAACAAAAGCCTATAACACTATCACAAAACCTATCAAGTGCTGCAAGCAGTGTCAATAAACGCCTTTGAGAAGTGAATCCAGCCATTTTCTTTGAAAACTGATACAAGCCCTCTCCATCCCCTCTGATCCTGTAATCCCCCCTCTGGGGCCGTTAGCCCAAAGGAAAGAAGCAGAAAATGATGAACAGCTACAGACTAACAGCCAGCACCTTAGATGTCCTGTTGCTAAGAAATAAGTAACTCGCACCAACTGTGTACAGTATCGTACAGCCATAAAAACTACGACAAAAGGGAAACCCATTCAGTATGAAAGCAAATGCTAAACACTACACTTATGCTTTGGCTATGTCAGTTATGATAACAAATTAATACAAAAGATTCAAAGCTCATGTTGATTTTTTTTCTTTTTATTTCTAAGGCCACTAGGTTATTTATAGAATAGAAGGCTTGCTGGAATTCAGCAGAGTCACCACAGTAAATACAAATTTCAAAACTGACTTTTCCAAAAGTATGAAACTATATAACCACCCATTTTTTTCCCTCCAAATCTATCACAAAGGAGTAATCAGATAGGCTCTTCTCACATACAGACCAGCCATGCATGTAATTTTAGCCATGCTATTAGCCAGCTGGAACCTTATTATATTAAAATCTCATTTTACCATCAAAGCCTAACTGTATGTGGGCGCTCCATCTGGCCATCAGAAGCCACTTGTTATGGGGCTGTGGAGAGAGGCCCACCAGCACTGCAGCGCCAACCACCCGGCTGAGCGGGACGGGGACGATGTGATGTCCCAGTATCCCCAAATACATGATCCTGTTGCTTGGCCAATGAAGGGCTGTCACAGCCTTTGGGTGGCAGCTGCTGACTCAAAGAGGGGGAAAAAGTGCAAGCAGATTTCCTCTTCCTCCAAAAGGCTGACAACTTGCTTCACCCAAAACGCCACGAAGGAATGAAAAACATACCTGCAAGAGGCTAGGGGATGAGAGACAGACTGCCTAACAGAACCAAATAACCTAGTTGCGTTCATTCAATTCCTGTAGGTACCCAGATTTTGTAAAACAATTAAGATGTAGAATTAGGAGACTGGGGGCAAAGCTGAAATCCAAGGCAAATCAACAGATGTAGACTGTATCCCCAGCTCCTTCCCTTTCCACCCACCAGGCCTTGGACAAATGCCTGCCTCTTCAAGCCCCAGGACCAGTCACTAGCCGCCAGGCCCGTCTGACCTCTGTACCACTATACATTGTTTTTTGTTTCCTGTCCTGAAATTTTATTCCTGACCAGCAGCAATTTTTACTGCACCCTTAGATATTTGCAAGTTTCTTGTGCAATTATTTTCTGCTAGGTTTTCTCACATTCCAAGTCAGTGTACATTCAAACTGGGACCACTCCTCACAAATGCATTCCGTAAACTTTCCAAGGCTACATGCACACAACAGTTATGTGCCAATGTTACAAAGCTACCAAGCACCTAGCAAAGACAGACATACAAATAAACTCCCAGCTACCACCTAGCAAATGCCAACTGCAGAGGGGCAGTGGGTTCACGGGTCAGTCGATGAAGAAGGATGCAATGTCTGGACAAGGCTCAGGTGATAGGTCAGCAAGGTGTTTACAAGGCAGAGAGCAAAGAATTCTGAACTGAGGGAGTGGCGTCAAACCACAAAGGATGTCATTTTCTGCGAACTGCAAGGAGTCCTACAGTGGCAGGGCCAGCATCACATCACGACAGAAGGCAAAACCCACAGTGTTGGCAAGTATCAGAAATAAAGACCACGGGCACGTGTGGCAAAGCTTGACTTCTAAGCACAGAATCACAGCCCCCACGTCCCCCATCCGCTAAGAGGTGCCAGTCAGGATCAGGATGTGAAAGGGCATGGTTTTCTAAAACATTTCCTGGAGATTTCCTGCAATAAGGGTGGCTTCTAGCACCTTCTTCCTCAGCATGTTCATCCAAGACTAAAGGAAGACAGTACCAATGACAGGTAAAGCAAGTGTGTATTTTTAACCCAAAAGGTTAAATTTTTAATTTAGTGTTGTTGAGCACAGAAAATGGTAACGTTGTGATTTAACAAATTAAGACAAGCAAACAGTAGTAAAAATCTGAGACTGACTTCAGGCAAAAACATCCTTACCCAGATCACAGGCAAGATGCTTCATAACCATTTGCCAAAGACAGATCTTAAATTCCCTTCCCTTCAAGAGCCCCTATCCTACAGGCTCTTTGCACTAGCCTGCCAACATGATATATATTTTTTTAATGACCCAAGGAAAAGATGCCACCAATATTTCAATGCCCAGAGAAAAGGGGACCCCTTTGTCAATGTCTGTATGTGAAACACCACCATTTCAATCTGGGGCCACGAAGACTCCCGTGCAGCAGTAATTTCCACACTGCGAAGGCCTAGTCTGGGGACAGCAAGCCTAATTGGCCGGGCAGCCTACAAAGATGAATTGGCAATTATTGAGATCCGAACTCAAGTCGACCATCTCAAAGAAGTCATTCCTGCTTGTACTTGTTCAAAAAAAAGCAGGTGCATTTAAAAAGAAAAAAACATATATGTATATATATACATATATATGTAGCAGATGTCTAAGAAGGATGGTGGGATGATGGGATTCCACCTGCCACATTTCCCCACCCCAAAGTTTTATCTCAGGATTAAGATTTTTTTAGGGCGTGTCACGGTTTTTGCTTCTGGGCACCCCGGGTACTTGCCCCGTCAACCTTCCCCGAGCATCCTGGCACCGAAATCACGGCCTCGCAGCCTCGCTGTCATTCCCTCACCCGCCGTGGAGTAAGCCCCAAGCAGCCCCAGGCCCCGGGCACTGCCACCCAGCGCCCGCCGCGGGCCTCCCCGGTCCACGCCCGCCCGCCGTCCACAGGCGGCTCGCAGGGGGCTCCCCGGGCAGGGTCGCGCTGCAGAGCCGGAGGCCCTCAGGACGCCCGGGGAGCCTGCACCCCGCCGCAGGACGGACGGCACCCCCAGGGCCCCCCGAGGGGGTGGCTGCCTCCGACCCCTCCTCCAGCCCCGAGCCCTGCCCGGCTCTCACCGTGCGGAGATCACGCTACCCTCTCGGCTCGCCCAGCGCTCGGCCGGTCCGAGGACGGAGAGGCCGGGAGCGCGGGGAGAGGGGAGAGCCGCCGGGTCGCCCGTCACATGGCCGCCGAGCCCGCCGCCCGAGCCGCAGCGGCCAGCATCGCATCCGCGGCCTGAGGCAGCGCCGGACCCCGGAGCCGCCGCGCCCCCTCCCGCGGCCTGCGCCCGCCTCGGACTCCGCCCTCCGGGGCCCGCGCAGCGCGCGCGCGCGGTCCCGCCCCCCCGGGCAGAGCTGCGCACGCGCGGGCCCACTGCGGCCTTCAGCCCGCCTACAGCCCCGCCCCGTGCTCTCGCCAAGCCCCACGCCCCTGGGGAGCGCTGCGCACGCGCGGGCCCGCCGCGGCCGTCAGCCCGCCTGCAGCCCCGCCCCGCTTTCTCGCTAGGCCCCGCCCCCGCCCCAGGCCCCGCCCCGGGGAGCGCTGCGAATGCGCGAGCCTGGCGCGGTCTGCAGCCCGCCTCCGGCCCCGCCCCGCGCCCCCAGGCCCCGCCCCCGCGTTCTCGCCAGGCTGTTCCACCCCGCCGGGAGCGCTGCGCACGCGCCAGCCCGGCTGCGGCCCCGCCCCGCGCTCTCCTCAGGCCCCGCCCCGCCCCGCTGACCTTGCCTTCCGCGGCTACCCTGACGCAAGGTGCTTGCTTCTTTTCTTCACTTGGCCCCAGCCCCGACGGCCTGCCCTTGCATGATGCTGACTTCATCTGGGGGCAGCTCCTGGGACAAAAACACTGGCTGTCTGAGGGCCGTGAAACCTGTCGGCTCTTGCTCCAGGCCCCGAAGCGGCCTGCGCCATGGGACTGCTGACAGGTGTCCTTAGCATTTTCTGCTGGCAAGTACGTACCTGTCCGCTCTCTTCCGTGCTCCAAAGCAGGCGCAAACTACTAGGGGCCAGACTAAGGCCCCAGAAAGAGGGGAGCCCCGCACCCCCGAAGGCTGAGACACACAGCCATCCCGTGACACCTGGGTTCCTTTGGCCAGGACCCCAGTCCTCATCCTCTTTGGAATTTGCGTGATGCAAAGGCCATCTCTTCGACTTTCTTTCCCTCCTTCTGGGTCACACTTAATTTTTAAGAGCTCTCATGAGTTCTGGGGGCCTTACTCGTCAAGCCGGATATGAAAACCTTAGAAATACCTTTTCTTTGTCAACCCCAACAGCTCACTGCAATAAATAATACTTAAGGAGGAGTTCTTGACAAGTATCCACCTCTTCCACATGTCTAGATCCGTGGTACTGGAGAAGAGGGGGCAGGAGCCTGTACAGTGATTGCATGTAACAATATACTTTTATATTTAGGAAATAGCTTTTTTTAGATCACCTCCAAATGTAAATATTGCATTTCTTGGGATAGTAATAGTGAGTATAAATAGTTTACAATTTCTCTTCAGATGAAGTGGGGTCACTAGAACAGCAGACAACCGACAGGACTTGAACTCACCCCCTTAGAACAACACTCAAGGAACTCAGGGGCTGACGTGTGTTTGGGAGTTAAGTCACCTGTTCAATGGAGAAATGGTAAGCAAATGCCTGGCCACTGCCCGTGGGCTCCCATCGCAGTAGTCTCCCTAGGAAGTGGCAAAGATTCAGCCACAAAGGTCAAAGGCGACCGACATGCAGGCAGTGTGGAGGTGACCCCCCCAGCTGCATCTCATTTTCCCCTACTTGTGTTTTACCTCTGTCATCATTTCCTCGGTTGTCATTATGTTGCATCGATGCCATTTCTATTAGCCGCCGGTCTCCACTCACAGGATTCTAATGGAGATGGAAGCATTGGAAGGACATCTTTGTGCCAGTGTCCTTCCCTGGGACCTGGGCGTGTGCAGAAGAAGCAGGAGAGAGGGGAAGTGCGAGGCTGAGACCAAGCAGGAAAGGGGAAACAGCTTGGGGTTGGCTGGTTTGAATAGTGCCCAAACAACATCCAGTCAATACATGTGCTTGGGTGATTAGCACCACAAGGGTTACAGGTGCGAGTCTAATCAAAGGAATGTTGTGTGTGGGGGGGTCTAGAATTGGGATTTGCTATGTGATTTTCACATACCTACAAAAGATGGATTGTAGGTGAGGTGTGGATGAATCCAGCTATTCGTTAGGCCCTGTGATTAAGGGATGCCAAATAGACAATCACAGAATCTAAGAGGGCAGATGGCGACTTAACCAACAGAGAAGCAAGTGTTTAGCCTAAAGGTCAAGGTGCTTGTGTCCCATATCAAAATTCCCAGGTTCGATACCCAGCTCCAACTCTAACACAGCCCTGGGAGCAGCAGCAATGGCTCAAGTCATTGTATTTCCCATCACCTACCTGGAAGAGCTGGATTACTTCCCCAGTTCCTATCCTGGGTCTCCAGTAGGATCTGACCCATGGGAGTATGAAGCCTGCTTTAGCTAAAGTTAAGGAGGAAAAAGGCAGCCCAAGTCTGGTGGCAGCGCACACATTTTAGCATGCTTCAGAATCCCCTTGAAGGGCATGGTACAACAGATTGCCAAGCTCCACCCCCAGGGTTTCCAATACAGCTGGCCTGGGGTGAGGTCAGGAATGTGCATTTTAATACGTTCTCATGAAATGCCGGTGCCTAGGAACCACTGGTAATGGAATGCCTCCTCAACAGAAGTCCAAACCAGGAGGGAAAGACCTTCTAGAAATGAGTCTTCCAAGAACTCTTAGTAGGATTAGTGAGAAATAAAGATCTCAGTGTCACAGACTGTCCTGGACAGACAAGGTGCCAGCTGAGAAAGCCAGAGTGTGACCTTAGTCCTTGAGCTGGGAAAGCAGGACAGAAGATGAAGAGTCAGAGGCAGGTGATATAGGATGCCGTGAGAGGAATGCACAAGTCACACAAGGTTTGGCCAGCTTTCTCGTGTTTCTTTTTTTCCAGATGAGTGTGGTGATTAGAGCATAAAGACAAGGGGTTGGGTGATCTTACAGGATCACAGCCTAGCACCTGTGGTTAAGACGTGGCACAGCAGTTCAGCCTCTATAACTCTGGCAGTCTGTATGAACACTGGCTTAATTCCCAGCTGCACCACTTCTGACCCAGCTTCCTGCTAATGCGCCTGGGAAAGCAATGGGACATGTTTCAACCACCATTGCCCCTGCCGCCTCTGTGGGATTCTCAAATGGAGCTACTGGTTTCTGGCTTTGACCTAGCCCAGCTCCGGCCGTTGTGGCCATTTGGGGATGGGCTACCAAACAGAAGATTCTCTCTCTCTGTCCTCTCTCTCTTTATCTAATTCTGCCTTTCAAATATATAACTTTTAAAAAGAGAAGAAAAGAGGGAGAAAGTGAGGGAGGGAGAGAAAAAGAACAAAAGACACAATATGATTGTTCAGAGTGTGTGTGCACAGGGAAGGGAGGGTGGGGGCAGTCGGAAAGTGTCTGGTTTGCAGACAACCGTATGGATAAACATGAAGATCATCCCAGAGAAAGGTCTGCACATCTACTGTATTTTGTGATTGAAACAAGTATATGGGGCAGGCATTTGGTGCACTACCTAGAGTCTGGAAAGCCCCAATCCCCCAGTGGAGCACCTATGTTTAAGTCCTGGATCCACTAGTGCAAACCCCAAGAGACATAAAAATAGCTTAAGTTCTTAAGGCCCTGCCACCCACATAGAGACTAGGATGGAGTTCCCAGATCATGGCTTCATCTGTTGTCCTCTGGGGAGTGAACCAAAGGGTGGAAGATTTCTGTCTCCCTCCCTCTTACCTTCTCTCCCTGAGTCTGTCTCTGTGTGTCTGCCAGCCTTTCATGTAAAATGAAAATAGATGTTCAGTATCTGTGTGTTATAGACTGAACATCCCCTGCCCATTCATGTGTTGAAATCATGATGCTCTTTGGAGGCAAGACCTTAGGAAAGCAAGCAGGTCTGATAAGGTCACGAAGGTGGAGCCCTCATGATGGGATCAGCATCTTTATGAGAAGAGGGATCTGTTTGCTCTTCAAAAGCTGAGCATCCACAGTCATGTGTTCCCCAGGACACAGGCCCTACCAGACATTGACCATAGTCACACAGCTTCACAAAACTGAGACAAATAGACAAGTGCAGTTTCAGCTGCTCAGTCTACAGTGATTTGTTATCACAGCCCCACATAAGACACCACAGTTTAAAGTTGGTAGAAAAGACCTTGGGAATAACCTTTCCCATAATTCTAATGCAGCTACATACTTAGCACTGCTACCATAGCCTTTTATTTTTCTGCTTTGACAGACATCCTGAGTATGTATTATTTATTTTGAGTTACTCAGAGCTCCATTTTTCATTAGGCAATAATATTGTTTTTTAGTTTATAATTTTGCTGGTCTCAAGCCTAAAATGATTCTTGCTGGCCTACCGATCAGCATGTCAGCAGGGCTGGCTCCTTCTGCAGGACCCAGCACAGAATGGGTCTGTCGTTTTCCAGCAGCCGGGCCTTGGCTCATTGCCCCTTCGTCCATCTTCCAAGCCAGCAACAGTGGTTTGAATCTTTCTCACATTGCATCTTTCTGACCTCTTCTGTCCCAGTTCTCTTCCTTTAAGGCCCCTTATGATTCTATTGGGTCTAACCAAATGATCTATTGTAAGGTCAGCCAATGCGCAAGCTTCATTTCATCAGCAAACTGAATTTCCCATCGCTGAGGCTCTCCTGTGAAAGTGGGGCTTTCTTTAAAAAAAATATTTATTTTTCCTTGAAAGGCAGATTTTACAGAGAGAAGGGGTGGGGGGGAGAGAGTATGTCTTCTATCTGTTGGCTCACTCCCCGAGATGGTTGCAACACCCACAACTCAGTGGGTCAGAAGTTGGAAACCAGGAGCTTCTTCTGGGTCCCCACGTGGGTACCGAGTTCCAAGTGCCTGGGCCATCCTCTGCTACCTCTCCACACCATAAGCAGGGAGCTGGGTCAGACGTAGAGCAGCTGTGACACAAATCAACACCCATATGGGGTGATGGCACCACAGGGCAGAGGATTTACCTGATGCACAATCGTGCCGGCCCCAAGAGATCTTTGATGGAAGTTTTGGGGCTCCCTGACAAAAAGCAGAATGAAATCTTCCACGGGAGCACCAGCAGGAGTTGGTTCTAACTATTATTCAAGATACAGCAGACAACAGACCTTCCTTTTCCCTCCCCCAAGTGTTTACTGAGCACCTACTATGCACCAACCACTACT